TTGAGGCCACTGAAGTTGCCCAGTGGCATTCAAAGCCACTTGGTCCGAAGCTTTTGATGATCATAAACATCGTGGTCTAGTACAACCTCCACTTTGTACACCCGCACCATCGATCAACAGCCCATCGGATTTAGATTTTTGGGAAGGCCACCCCCAAGCGTTTCATTCCTCACATAATGCCAGAAACGTGAGCAAATCACCATCACAAGTCAGTGTGGCCGAGTGGTTAAGGCGATAGACTAGAAATCTATTGGGTTCGCCCGCACAGGTTCGAGTCCTGTCGCTGACGATCTTTTTGATCTCTTTTTTTTTGGATCCCTTCTCCCTTACCCAGCCACTTCTTGTGGGAGTGGATCCAGCGGGTAACTGACACCGCAGGAGTCAGACTGCACAGCCAGGACTGCCACCTCGGCATACTGACAAAGTTCTTTTACATATAGACGCCTCGATACCTGCCGGAGAATTGCATTATTAATTCATGACTGCCACTGTCAGTCAATGCTGCCTCGGAAAAACATACACTAGACTCGGTGAATGGCCCCAATCCTGCCTCTGAGGACGCTCATATTGCGCTTGGTAGTGCTAGGAACTATAGCATGCAAGTCCAAGACGTGCTACCTGGAGGCATAATAGGCACATATAGCCTGACCACAAATATGTACCGTAATAACGGCTTCCAAAACAAGCAACAGTCAGTGTGGCCGAGTGGTTAAGGCGATAGACTAGAAATCTATTGGGTTCGCCCGCACAGGTTCGAGTCCTGTCGCTGACGTTTCTTTTTTGTTCTTTTTCTTCTTTGTTCCTATCATGATGTCTCGATTCAGATCCGTATCTGCCGGCACAACAATGCCGAGTCATTGTTTTGCCATTGAAGAAGAATGCCCGGTACCCATTCTTCCAACAAGTAGTGCCTCAACTCATACACACTAGGGGAGACCGTACTGATCGAATGCAGCATGCCAGATCAAACAGTTCTTCTGTGCTGACTCGTTTCATTGCCAGCCCTGACTTGTATGCAGAACTAAAGAGTCCTTTTATGGGGGAGTTTCTTCTGAATTCCCCTGGTAACCTGGGGCAAGCATGGTAATGCCGGGGAATTCGGCTCGAACATGTGTACATTATTGCGTGTGACCTTGGGACAATACACTCCAAACTCTGCCGGGTTGTAGGGAGTGGATGGAAGCCCCAGAGGTTGAGTGCAGTCTTATATGCCTCGAGCCAACAGACTATGGGCTACTCCACTCAAGTAAATACTGCTTGAGCACTATCGTGCCTCTCCACCGCGCATATGGCATGGATGCCGACCATCGTAGGCCTGAATATGATTTCAAATTCCCTCAGATATCTGCCCTTGTCAAGCCAGGGTATTGCATTCTGTTTTGCCAGCCCTATAGATGATGCAATTCCTATAACTCAGTTCAATAGCCTGTAATAGAGCAATAGGTGCAAGGTAACCTACCTAATATGTATACCAAAACGAGACGGTCGAATTCGCAGCGAGCTAATAGATCTCCGAGGAACGGATGATCCATAGGTTTTGTTTGTCGCACTCGCCACCAAGTCAACAATATGTCAACCCCTCGAGCTGCAGGGTAACAGTGCCACCAAAAACCAGAAGCAGATACATACGTCAGGAACGCACGAAAAGCTGCTTCCGGTAGTTTGACGTGGGCAACACTCGCACCTTCCCGACCAGGGAGGGATGCCAGCGGATCTTCCACATCTTGCGCTCGTTCTTCCTCCTATATCATTAGCTAACTTCTGAAATAGAGACATTCAGCATTTTGAAGCGACCATCCAGAGCTTTCTATATCTTGTTTTTCATTTATAGAACAGGCATCAAACCGCAGCCCGAGACGACCGTGCCATACCAGCCTCCACTAGCACGGCCAGGAGTCACACATAGCATGCAAACACATCGTCACAGGCAACAAAAGACGCGTATAGACATCATGATGAGGTGAATGCAAAGTTTCTAACGCGTCTCTTCGACACGTCCCCATTGGACAGAAGCGAGAAATGGATTTTCGCGATTGTTCCAACATCTCGCCCAGCTGAGGGTCCTCATTGGTCTGCCAGATCATATCAGATTGATCTCACAGTTACTTCAATTTACCGTGGGCCTGACGTCTAGCTCATTGTTATTCACCAGCCGGGCTCCCGTACTGTTGACCTCACAGCCCAGCGACACACGAGGTCGCCATAGCCGAAATTCCGACCCAGGGGTTCTAAGAGAGTCGACCAAGCTTCCATCTAATTCGTGCTGAGCTGTGAGTTATAGTGACTTGTAGTATACTGGTCAATCTGTTCTAACTTTGAGCTTTAGAAGATAAGTCCTGCGCTTGACCTCGTGAGCATGCCTATATCGCGAATACAACAACATGGAAGCCAGATGAGCTAACAGCTTCACAAAAACATACACTGCATACAGTGTGTCTTGCAGCTGGTCATGTATGCAGGTAACTGAAGCTGGTCATGTATGTAGGGTCAGCACGCATGATAAGGTGTACTCAAGCCAGAGGCCATGGAAGTATCTGGTGCAAGCTTGGTACGATTCAAAGCTGGCTCTCACAAGGCAACACATAAAAATAGACTTATCAGGAACATTGCCATCATTGTTGATGGATTCGACATGAGACGAACCTGTATTAGCGCCCTCATTCCCACCTACGACCAGCAAACTGCCCCGATCATAGCTGAATGCCAGCAAAACGATCCATATGCACTTTGCACATTACAAGATACCATCTTCTATGTCGCAGCCAGAACTGCGCGATGTAATACTTACCATGACGCATCGTGCCGCTGACGAGGAGATCTGTCTCCAAATGGAGAGTCAATGACAGGGGTTTATGACAGCCAGAGATCCCTTTCGCAAAGACTGGACAGCAATGCAGCTATATCTCGTCCATAACAGAGGTCTGACATCTCAAAACAATCAATCCAGTGATCACCTTGGTACACCCATTCATAAGAGCGTGGAGAGAAAAAAAGAAAGGGAAAAAAAATGATGTGGTGGAGAATACTGAACGGTTCGATTCCCCAACCGAATTTGAAGAAAGCAAAAAACGTCAGCGACAGGACTCGAACCTGTGCGGGCGAACCCAATAGATTTCTAGTCTATCGCCTTAACCACTCGGCCACACTGACTAATTGATATAATATGGCTCAGTTTTGGGGAATAGGAAGCAGCAATAAATTACCCAACACATGGCTCAGCTGACTTACTGTGGATGCTGCCTGCACCACCAGGCATTCAACCTTCGAATATCAACCTCCTTCTCAGCATCGTTATCACATGCGATCGATGCATCCTAATACATTACCTTTTCCTTACCACGCCCTTCTCACCTCCACCACTAAGCGTTACCCAATTTAGTCCCGACAGATACCGCCTCAGGATCCCCAAGCGTTACCACGGCGCCTACCCATAACAGTACATATCCGCCGAACACGGCGCAGCATTCATAAGCCATCAATTCTCCTACCCCTCTCCACAACACATCTGCCTCATTCTACGGCTGTGGATCCTCGAAAGAAGCTAGGTGTACACTTGTCACCCAGCACCAACACCGCAACACATCTCATACTCCATCGACCCGATGGAGTATATCCAGGGCATGCATACAGCCAATCACCAGTAAGCAATCTATACCCTCACCACAACCGAAGTAGATCCCTACCAGCTAGCTCCAACAACCCACCCATCAGATTCAGACATACTACCCTCGCCTACAAGGCTAACATAACAACCGACCAACCAACCACCCAACAAATCAACAAGCACATGAAATCCGAGCTACCACCCCTGAGTCATATCAGATAAGCACCCAGCCAACTACCCAGCAAACAAGCTAGTCCAGCAGTAGATATCTACCGAAAGTGAGTGCTTACTACCGAGACGCCAGAAGTGTGAGTCACGGAAAGAGTCACGCGCAGTATTCTAGACCGGGTAGTGTCTGTGTCCTTCCTGGTAGGGAGCCACGTTGAGCTGGCTGGACCTTATGTACTATGTAAGGGGGGAAGAGGAAGTGAGTGGGTGATGACGACGACTGACTACCAAGTGAGACTCACTATGGGGCTTGCTTGTTACCCGGACTACTGCTGTACATGGCTAGTTGGCTGGTCACTAGGTAGGTGGTGAGAAGGAAGAAAGGAAGGAAGGAAGGATGATACGTGAGGTATGTGTCATACTATAGTATGATACATGGTGAGTAATTGAGTGCTTACTAGCCTTATTGGGGTGATTTGCTTGGTAATCATGGAGTCGGAAGTGGGATGGATGATGGGAAGGATGAAAGATAGTGAGGGAGTGGCGAGTGAGGCTGGTAGCCTTGGATGCAAGGCCAACAGATGCCTGCTTGCCTGCCTGCCTGCCTGCCTAGTCTAGCTAGAGGAGATCATGAACGATGCAGAGCCCGAAGACTACTAAGTACGTTACTCGACTAGTATGTGACCAGGGATGTACGTGCCAGTCATTATTACAATTTGATACGAAAGGAGCCCCTTGGCGGCATCCAGCTTGTCACGAAGACAAAAAGATGATCAGATAGGTAGCTAGATGACAGACATCTTTTATGATTTCACCCCACTGACGTGGTGGAGGGACTACGCATCCCCAGGATCGACAGCTACGTTTGCATCGGAGGATTTTGAAGGCACAAGTGAAGAGAGACAAGATTATGGAAAAGGTCAAAAGGCAACAACAAAAGAAACGGGGTGAAAAACGCCTGGGTATATTTCAGGGAATAATAAGTAATGAGGAAATAGAGAGAGATAAAAAAAATGTAGGGAAGGAGATGAAAGGGGGGTTAGGAACCATAAGGATAAATCACAATAAGAAAAAAAAAAAAAAAAAACACCACCTGGTCTGTATCAACGACCTTGAGCAAACGCCATCATCTTCAGAGCTGCCTGATCTTTATCCATGCGTTCCGAGATGTAGACCGACCCATATGAACCACCCGTAGATGTTGTAGACAGATCCGCGAAAACAACCAAGGCCCCGTAATTTGCATAGTTTGAACGCCCTTAGAATGCAAATTTCATACAACAAACCATGAAAATGAAGTAAAACGACTCTGAACCAAAAAAGTAAGAAGCGGGGAAGAAAGGAAAGCGAAAGGGAAAGAGCCAAAGTAGCACGAAAACAGGGAAACGCAACAAATGATAAGAAAGAGAAAGAGCGATCAAATCAATACCACTCGTTGAAATCTTGATCCAGCGCATCCAGCTAGCCCTGTGACGTCGCGGTCTGAGGAATAGCCTGCTGTAGTCCAGCCACGATGCGTTCCAACTCCTCCAGTCGGCGATCCTTCTCTTGGACCTCACGACGCAGCCTCTTCAGTTCATTGCGAAGATCCACCCCGTTCTCTTCCTCCTCGGGAAGCTCGAGGGTGGCCGGATCATCTCCGAGAGATTCGCGTTTCCTCTTCAAGGCTGCGGATGCCGTCGCAAGAGACGTGGTGCCATCCAGATCGGGCGACGGGGCGATGGGCAGCTCGGACGCATGTCCGTTCTCAGTGTGCATGTGGCGGCGGCGAAGGTGCTCCTTCAGGTTTTCTTGACGCGTAAATCCGTTCCCTGTGCTGCGATTGCAGTCGGCGTACGGACACATCAAGGGTTTCTTGGCATTGATGTTCTTCTTATGCACCTCGCGCTGATGCCTCAGCAGACCGCCAGAGTATGTAAAACCTTGAATCTTGTCACAGCCGGGTTCCATGCACTTGTACGGGCGGTCGTGTTTGTCCATGTGTTTGCTGTGAAGTGGCAAACGGTTAGCTTTTCCTTGAATCGGGGATTTTGTAGATTTGTCTTTTTTCTTAATCATCATCACCATCATGAGGGAGAAAACTTACTTCCATTCGCACGGACGGCGAAATGTTGGGGGCGAGTGCTGGCACTCGGGATGGTCGCAGTAGATTTGACCGGCAGTGTTCTTGGGCGGATCCCGCGCTCTTCTCACCGACAGTCGCGGGCGCGTCCCTTCCATGAAGTTCGGAGACAGCTGGTCGTTCATCTTGGGAGCTGGAGAAAGCGAGTCTTGGACAGTGACGAGAACAGAGGTAGGTCCACCGGGACCTTCACTTCGTGGACTAGGATAATCAGAGCCGTCACCCATAGCGTAGCTACAACCCCGCCGTCAATTGCGAAGGGGGTTGGCCCTGGTGGCGTTCGGAAAACGAGGCGGAAAATAGAAGATAGGAAGACGGTGGTAAAGATGAAGTAAGGTCAAGTGCAGCGGTTGAAAAGATGGGAGGAAGAGGGAGTTGATATTAGCTTGGTTGTCGAGCTCAATGCGCGTCGGGTGGCACTGGGCGATGGATGGTTGTTTGCTCAGTTCGGAAGGACGGATTGCCAATTTTTTCAGGACGGAAAACAAGGCATCTAGCGACACGCGCACGTGACAACAGTTGTTGGCCAGTTGGGCAATGTCTTGGCGGATCCGCCACTCGATTGAAAAGGGAAGGTCGAAGTTGGTGTCCGCTGGGGAAGGAGCAATGTATCTTGTTTTAACAATGAAGAGGGAGAAAGGCAAGAGAGATAAGTAGTTGAATCTTTGGTTAGTACTTCGTACTTATACGGCATTAATAATCCCAGTTACTTGGTGCATGGTAGAATCCAACAGCAACAGCAACAGCAACACCCGTCTAATTTATTTTTAAATAACCCAGATTAAGACTCTTGTAAGGATACTCAAGTATCATGCCTGCACACGTGGTGTGATCGGAGACAACTACGCCGGATTTGTGTTTTGTATGTATCAGTCAAGCCTTGATGGGCGCCGAATCACGATGGATTGACTGCGGCATGGATGGCAAAAACTTTGTAAAGGGTCTTTAGGCTGCGACTAGTGAGTCATGCTAGGCAGGCAACCAAGATAACTTACAGTAACTCCTTCCTGTGCTATTACTAGGATCTATCAGAGGTTGACTTCTTTTCTTTGCTCAGCTTCGACAAGGCCATCCGCCACAATTTCCACCCCAGTCGGGTTGCATGCCTCATTGCTGCCTGCCAATCAGGGCCCTCCAGCACGTGGTCTGCCTTTTTCACCCCCAGCCACATTGCCGGTTTCGGTCAATTTTCTGTGGCGTCTCGGGAGTCATGGAATCTGCCTTACAAACCAACTCGGACATGCCGGTTGTTGCTGTGTTTGGGGTTTTTTTTTTTTTTTTTTTTCAATTAATTTTAATTAACATAATATTCTTCGAGTTTCTATTGTATTTCCATACATCACAAATTAGAGCATAGTATACTCCCTATCACTCCTGCGTGGCAGATGGAGGAGAAAAGAGGTGTGAGGTATGTACGTAGTAAGGTGATAGGTACCTTAGGTACCCAGCAACCAGCATAACTCCGACAGCGGTTCTTGCCCAATCCCATGCCCGGCGTTCCGTCAGGCAAAGAACCCGCTTAAGCGCTCTGAGCCCAAGGCAAATGGAACCCTCGGAAAACCAAACCCCCAGCACGAGGCAATAATGAGAGAAGAAAAAAAATATAGAAAAAAAGAAAAAAGCTGAGACGCTTGACTTGCCTTTCACGCTAATGTGAAAAAAGCAAAACTGAAATAGGAAAGACAAAAGAATAGTTCTACTGCTTACTTACTGACAGGGTTGTTTGTAACAATGTATGCCAACCCTGATCCACTCAGACGGGATCTTCCCACGTCTGACAGGCAAGAGATTCATACACACTAACCAGTAGTAATGCTTAAGCTGCATATAGTTTTGATCGAATAGATAGATCTTTCTCTCATCCTCACTCTTGATCCCTGTCCGTAACAATCGCCCTTCCCGTGTCAACGTCAAGATATCTCTGCCGCCCATCCCTTGCATAGGCGACAATTCACGCCCAAAAACTATGCTATGCCTGGACAGGGCGAATCGCTCCCTGCCTCGTTTAGATTGCCAGCAAACGTAACTCACTAACCTAGTTAGCCGGCGTGCATTTTCCTCAAACTAAGTCTGTTTGACATGGCTGTTAATTGTTAATCGTTGATTGGTGTTGGTTATTGTTGATGTTGTTGCCTGCAAAACACGGCCACAATCGCAAACCACAAAAAAAGTAATCATCTATTATGGTTGATTGTCAGGAAACCAAATCCTTCGATATCAGATCGTCGTAGGCATCTTCATTCTCAAAAATAGCATCATCAGAGACGTCTGAGTGGGGGAAGGGTTACCGATTCCCCTTTTGTGAGAGGACGGATCTTCCCCAGCCAGTGGCGCAGCGCCCGCCACGATGTATGCAAGACCATCCTTGTCACTCCGAGAGAGATCTGCATGGACCAGTAGTTAAAAAAATCCTTCAGTGATCTTGTTACCCCCCTCCTATCCTCATTCCTTCTTCTCCACACACGAGACGGCCGGTGTCTCCGTGGATGATGGGATGCGCGTGTGGCTTAGAGGTCTTCCTTCAGTGGAATGAGTAGTGCCTAAATGCATCGCCTGCAGGTAGCTGGCTCTAAATCGCGTGTGCTGCTCCTGACAGGACCACTAGATGAAGGATCAATGCAGGTTACTCTCGGTTATTCACAACAAGATCGTGGCGGAGTCTTCTATCAAACGTGCGGATCATTCTGCGAAGGTGGAACCGGCGGCCGTATCCGCCGTCATCAGTTTACAAATAACTACCGGACAGCTGCTAAGGATGCGAGATATGCGGATGCCTACTCATCCTGCAGACGATCGTTATCTTTGCTCGCATACTGAGACGTATCATGGTGAAGCTACGAGGCGGTGTGGTGAATGAACGACAGTAGTTGGATTGAGATGCGGGACTAAACGGCTCATTCGAGTCGACAATCGGCATTGCCATGACTCTCGAAATCCGAGACATACGCGTAAAGAGACACAATGGGCAGGCAGTGTTCGGGAAAATATCCTCCTGGTCCCAGTTGCCGAGAATCAGAGAGAATTACTGCTTAGCCATAGCAGTGCCACAAACACGCGAGAACGATGGAAACAGGAATTGGGCAAGAAGAACGAAACAGAAAATAGGCAGTCATAGGATTTTAAAATAGTATCGGGTAAACCAGGATTGGCAACAAATAGAAATGTGTAGCATCATCGGTGATGAGCCACCCTCTTCCAGCTGTCCGCGAGAATGCTAGGACTCACCAGCTTCCTCGAATCAAGTCGAACCCGAGTGCAGCCGTAAGCCAGAAAGATTGCCTTGACATACCACTGACTCTTTTCCCTATGGAAATAGTCGATGGCGACAAACCATATCGATAATGGGCCATGTACACGGTATAGTCGCTGCCGTTGCATGCCATGTCGCAGAGCGTTCTATGTTGTCATCTGACGGGAGAGTCACTTGTCTAGATGACACGTAACCGTACGTAGCTCCTGTAAACTGGCATCTTTCCATATGGATAAAAGCAATGCGAAAGAATCCGAGGAATGCCTCATTTCCCACCAGATGGTTGAGGGGTGGCTCTCGCCAACGCTTCCCTGAATCTTACAGATGTCTCACGCCTAACGGTGACATGGATGACGTCGAGCAGAATCCCAGGAATCAATTCAGTTGGAGTAACCTGATGATTCGATGGACGATTGCCCCCCGAGCTTCGGGAAAGGCTGCAAGCTACTGGGCCCGCTCTAAACCGAAAAGGGTTCGAGTGCTCCCCAATCAATCATAGTTGCCCCCAACCTGACTGGCAAATGCCGTCGAAACACTGCGCGTATCATCGTCGTCATGAATGTGGCCTGGCACACCACGAGTGACACGAATGCTAGCAGAGCTTCCGCCGAAAATGCTGCCGTTATCGGGAACGCCGGGCTTGTAAGGCTCCCGGCCTCCGGATTCCACGTAGCGCTTCAGCCGATCAGACTGACTGAGACTGGGCTGCTTGCCCATATCGTTGATGCTCAAGCCAGCAAGGCTGACACCGCCTTGGTCGACGCTCTTCCCATCAATGATGCTTCCAGTAACATCAGACTCGGTGGCCGCCACAGATTCTCCGGCAATGCTAGGTGCTCCCTTCATTCGGTTACCATTGGCCCGACGGGCTCCGGGAAGAGCGGGCCACGAGTCTGCGAAGTTTTGGAACATGGGAGGATACCCAGAAGGAATGCCAACCCCACCCAGGGCAGAGGAGTGGACGGAAGAGACATCATCGGGGATGTAACCAACCACCGAGCCGGTGTCATGGAAGTCAGTGCGGTGACCGTTTCTTCCATTCATCAACCCGCTCGTAACGTTAGAGGCATGGTTGTACGCCATCTGGAAGCGTTGAGGACCCCGGTATGCCTGCTTGGGTCGGCTGAACTGGATTAAAGACTCTTGCAGGTTAGACAAGGGTCCCTCAACCAGACAGTGCCTTTCCTTGAAATGCTGCAGGAGACAGTTCCACAGAGGATGCTTCGACAAGACCTTAGGGTTTCCAAGAATGGCCAAGCCATACTTGGCACGAGTGAGAGCGACGTTGAGACGGCGAGGGTCACTTAGGAAACCAATGCCCTGGTGGTCGTTGGAACGAACACAAGAGAGGATAATGAAGTCCTTCTCACGACCCTGGAAGGCATCGACCGAGGCCACTTCAATCTCCTTGTAGTGTTCCTTCTTGAAGGTGCCATTAGCTTGCATGGAGCTAACAATGTAGCTGCGCTGACCCTCATAAGGAGTGATGATACCAATATCCTGGGGCTGAACTCCAGCTTTGAAGAAGCGGGTGACAATTTTCTCCACATTCGTCGCTTCAGTGCGGTTAAGGTAAGAGGTTCCGGAGGCCGAAATCTCCTCATTACCCAGATTCGACCAGAACATCATAGGGTTATCGGCAATGGGCCAGGGGAAGTCGACATCACGGCGGAGACGCTCAAACGAAGAGATACCGTTTTGTAGAGAACCTTCATAGAACATGTTCGACGGGAACTCCGACAAGCATGGGTGCATACGGTACTGAACGTTCAGACGGATAGGGGAGCAGCCAAGAATGACGAGACGTTCAAAGAGTGACTGGTTCAGACCTGCCTTAGCTGCCTTCTTGTTCATGATAACAGGTCCCAGCTGTTGGTGATCTCCAACAAGGACAACTTGCTTGCATCCAAGGACCAAGGGAATCATACACTCTGGCTCAGCCGACTGGGTCGATTCGTCAATCAAGACGGTACGGAACTTGAGCTTCGCCAGACGAGGATCACCAGCACCAACGCAAGTACAGCAGATAACGTCAGCGTTATTCAGGATCTCGCGCTCCGCTGAGCGAGTTAGTTGTTTCAGTCGCTTCTCATCTTGACTGGACAATTCTCCAAGCTCGGCCTTGAGCTGATTGAGCTTGATGAGTTCGATGTTGGTATCGTTGATGCGGACTTGCTCATGCAAGGACAAGAAGCCAACCGGCGATTCAACATCCTCTCGTGATTTAGCTGTCACACGTACAGTCTTCAGACCTGTTCGGTGGATACGCTCGCAAAGTTGGTCAACCGCAACGTTCGAGGGGGCGCACACCAATACCTGACCACCGTTGATCTTCGCAAGGTGGTAGATGATCGTAGCAGAGGTGACAGTCTTTCCCGTTCCCGGAGGTCCCTGAATCAAACTCAAAGGTCTCTGCAGCACGCTCTTCACAGCGTTGATCTGACTACCGTTGAGTTCAGGAAGTCCCGGAACGCTGAACTTCTTCGGCATTTGGGTCTTCATTGGCGCGGCGGCGACTTCGTGTCCGAGAAGGCGATGGAAGATGTAACCGGAGACACTCATCTCATCCACGGCAAATGTCTTCATGGCCAGCTGCATACGATCGAAAGATGTAGACTTCCAGACGTAGTCGGCCGTGAAATTGTGCGTGCACTCCGTAGGCACAGACTTATGATCACCCTTTGCTCGCAACTCGATCGTCACCTCATCAGACTGGTTGTTCGGAATCTTGATGACATATCCAACACCTTCCCACTTGGGCCGCAGTTCGCCGGTATACTTGAGGCGCATCTCATCTCCCACAGCCAGTTTAACATCGCCAAGTTCAAGCTTGGGCAGAATGAAGCTAGCCAGATGCTTGTTGTTAAGACCAAGGTCCCAGCGTACGATCAAACCATCCTGCGACTGAGATTCCTTCAATTTGCGGTCATAGTCGGCCTCTATCTTGACCAGAGGCCCAAAGATGTTCTGATACTGGAAGGCATCATCATAACGCAGAAGCACGGGTGCTGGCTCATCGTCCACAGCCGTGGCCTTCTCCAAATCCGAGAAAGTCGCTTGAGAATTTTCCTTCCACATCTCTTCCAACTTAGCAATCAACTGCGGACTAAGGTGGCGAGCGCGGAGCTGCTCCTGGTCGGACGGGGCAGCAACCAGCCATGGCAAGAATGAACGGTCTTCAATCAATGGTTGCCAGCGCGAAGTGTCCCAGTTCATATCTTTGGAAGATGGCATAGCGGCGCATGGTTGACGGCATAGCAACACGACAACCGTGTCAGACTTGGCTGGGATGAATCCAAGAAGAAAAACGTTCTTAGTTCCGCAATTGTAGCATTCCAATATCGTATCTCCAAGCGACGAGGCCGGATGCAACTGAACTTCCTTGTGGCGTGCCCGAACGAGGTGATTGACAATATGGGAGGACGAAGTGTTACCACGGGCGCTGCAAAACCACTTGCTGCAGGCCAGGCACTTGACTACGCTGCTCGGGTTATGAATGCCGCAATACCTGTAGAGGAGCTCCAAGTCAGTGAAGATGTAACAGAGCAAACGTTACGATAAACTCACGCGCAAGCATGTGGCGGGAGTTCCTTCTCCTCCTCAAAGTGACCCTGATGATGCTTGTTGTCGGCTGCCTGAGCACTAGTTGTGCTCTCTACATCGTCGTCTCCGGAAGCCTCATCGTCATCGTCATGTCTCCGCGGGCGGAACTGGGAAGCTGCGTCGTCCATCTCCGGCGGAATCCTGTCATCGCCAAGTGCCGCCATAATGATGTAGGAGAAAGAAAAAGAAAATCCGATGCTTAAACCCCAATATCGCTACCCAGGTCAAGACAGAAAGAGCGAAATCTGCGGAAGCGAAAGCGAAAGACGCCCAGGACACCGAAGATTATGCGGTCATACACGAGTCTGAAATGTCACGCGAGGCGATTTGAAAGATGTAAAGAGCGTGGAGGACGAAACAGCCGTGACTGTCCGAGGACAGAGGCAGGTGATGTTGTGTTTTCTTTATCGGAGGTCACCAGTGTGCCACAGCAGAGGGGCAACTGTATATGAGATTAGAACTGGAATCCAGTCAGACTCACTTTTGTCCGTGGGAATTTATAGAGCCAACTGGTGAAAAAGATGCCTTACATTCAAGTCACAGAGCCCTGCCGCCACTGAAGAGCTTGACGCAAGTGAATTGGGGCGTGTCCTGGAAGGCAGGGAATGATGGACAATCCACAGGACCGGATGGTGGATGATTTGCGATCGGCTCAGGCCAAGGCATTCGGAGTCGTTGCCGCCAAATCCCACACAACTCCGGTGGCCAAGGCGGACCAGACCGGCAGTTGCCGCAAGAAAAAAAGTTGCCCGCCTTTTGCGTTCCAGACCCCATTCTGATCTACTCAATCATTCCTCATTATATACACACACGATGTTGGTATGTCGCTGCTTGGAATTTTAAAAATAGCTATCCCCCGTGGATCCAGACCTCTTATCGCTAACTACTGATTCTTCAGCGTCGTCAAGCCCGTGAGCGTCGCGATTATCTGTACCGGAGAGCTCTCACTCTCCGCGATGCCTCCATTGCTGAAAAGCGAGCCCAGCTGAAGGCGTCGCTGGCCTCCGGAAAACCCCTCGACCCCTCCATCGCTGAAGACAAATCGCTGCGCGAAGATTTCAAGTACGATGAATCCATCACCCCGGGTAACCAGAACAAGGATGGCGACGTCGATCTCGATGATGAATATGCCCTCACCTCCGGCATCGCCGACCCCCGTCCTATCGTGACAACCTCTCGCTCCCCTTCTGTCCGTCTGGGCACATTCGCTAAGGAGGTCCGTCTGCTTCTTCCAACCTCCATTCGCTTGAACCGTGGTAACCTCGTTCTTCCGGACTTGGTTTCAAGCGCAACCGCCGCCGCGCTGACCGACATGATTCTCGTGCACGAACACCGTGGTACGCCCACTGCGATGACGATCTCCCACCTTCCCCATGGGCCGACCGCTAGCTTCTCCCTGCATAACGTTGTTCTCCGTGCGGATATTCCCAATGCTGCTCGCGGAACTGTGTCGGAGAGCTACCCTCACCTCATCTTCGAAGGTTTCAAGACCAAGCTGGGTCTTCGTGTGGTTCAGATTCTGAAGCATCTGTTTCCCCCGCGTGAGACCGGCAAGGTTGGAAACCGTGTCGTCAGCTTCGTGAACAAGGAAGACAACATTGAGGTCCGTCATCACGTGTTCGTCAAGACCGGATATCGGGATGTTGAGCTGGCGGAAGTTGGTCCTCGTATGACCATGCGACTGTTCGAGATCCGCGGTGGAACCTTGGAGAAAGGTTCTAGTGGTGATGTTGAATGGGCTCTTACCCAGTACACCAGGACGAGCAAGAAGAAGGATTATCTGTGAGCCAGTTTTAGTCTTGAGGACACCTGTGGCTTTCAGTTGGCTGTGTATAATCATTTACGAAGGCAAAAAGAAAAGTCTTGATTCGGCGCATGAGGTGTTCAGGAAGGAGCTCAAAGGGGCGGCATTTACATTTGGCATATCTGATCGCTATTGTATACCCATCTGAAAGAAATTTTTCCATTACTTCTCTCCTTTCTACCTAGAAATCATGTAGCCATTGAAGTATGATCGCAGTGGTAACAGAGGCAACAGATTGAAAATCTAGTATACGGCCGAATTAATTGAAGGTTCGGCCTCAGCATCGATTAGGGCTAGCCGACCGGATATATTTATCTCGGGGACAGCTCAGAATCTCTATGTCCGGACCAGTCAAATCGTATACGATTATCGGCTCGTCACTGCCCGGCCTCTTGCCATTCCCATCCTGTGCCGACTCGTGCTCAATGCCCTGCAATGATGCATCTAGATAATTTTGCTCAACAGTCACCATGTCATCGCCGTCGGGTGCATCAACTCCCCGAAGGAAATTTGACAACAGTCCAGCCCGATCCTCGTAGTAGAACCAATTCTGGTGAGGAGGCAGTAACTTGCCAACAGTATCTCTCTTACCCTCTGGTAAGACATCATCCAGCCGCTCTTCCCACTCCTTACCTGTTTTGTTCTTGAAAGTCTCCTTGAACGCCGTCACCGCGAAGTCACGATCTGCTTTCAGCGGTGTCAGGAGTTGGCTCTGCTGCTTGCCAATACGGCTGTACTCGAGATGTGTAGCGTAGACATGAGGTTCTCTATTAGACTCGTATACCTACATACAGTTTCTCAATCAGCCCTTCTCCTGATACATATACCTCATCTGCCTGGAGAGAAATAAACGATCGCGACTCCACAGCATTATGACTAACTCACCCTGACCACATATCTCTCCTTGCAGCTTTTGCCCTGCATCAACCGGACAAGCGTAGCATTGTACGTCACCCTCGCTTCTTCATCCGTATAGATGTGATACCTCGCTACATCACCAGCTTGAATCAGCCTTCGTAATACGCAGGAACCAGATAGACGATAACATACAAACCGCAGTCCCGGCCTTTACACCCTTTCTCTTCCTACCAAAAGGATCCTGATTCTTCAGATTACCTAGTAGCGTCATGTTAGTCACCAAAAACTTATATTATCTAGTCAAGTCCGTTCGACTTCATCACGTCGGTTGGACTCCACCCCAACAATCAACAACTTGCCCCCAAGAGCAAACGTACCTTTCGTTCTAGGCTCTTCTTTCTCCCTCTTCCTTATTTTCTCTCTATCCTTTCCTCTCCTATTCTTCTCGCTCTTGAGTATATTCGCAAGAAGATACTCTGTCTCACGCTTCGGTCTCCGATTCTTAGATAAGAGAGAGTCTTCCAGCCAGTCATAGGAGACTATTTTTATAGTTCGTAGTCGTTTAGCTTCCCGAACTATCATTCGGTTTCGCTGTCAGAAATACATGCGTGACTTGAATCCAATACGTTGAAAGTACCTACCTGCTTCAACATCATCCTTGAACGCTTCTTTGGTGGTGATCAAATGAGTGATGTCTGCGCTGATATCCTTGGAATATTGGCCTCCGTTGGCCCGTATCCACTGGGGTATTTTGTCCGAATTTCCATCGAATTTGCCAAATGAGGTGGCATGTATGTTTTTGAAGGTCTTGCCCATTCTGAAGGGAATATGGAGAGGTGGTATTCCGGTGGAGTCTGATGTAACCGCTGAGGCAGAGTCTTTTCAGCTGACTGTATCAAGGGTGCGTTGAGTGAATATAAGGGATCTTAAAGGTATATAGTAAGTAGAAAGCTCGGGGAAGAATATGATAAGTAGTACTACTACTACGATACTATTCGATCAATGGCCGGGTGAATGAACACTGAGAAAAGGAGAAGGTGATTATCTCGTCAATGAAAAGTGAGGCTACTGTAAGCTGGCAAGAGTGTAGGATATCTGAAGTGGCCGTGTCATTGCTTGGCATCATGGCTATGGTAGATCCGAAAGGTATCAACAAAGTGAAAGGTAAAAAACTCATAGAAAATCAAATGAAAAGACCAATGATGCCTGGTAATCCCATGCTTGGGGATATATAGAGACGACCCCAAGCTAGAGTCCCCTCACGGCCTGCACAAATGCGCGAATTTTGTTAAGATCCTGAGCGCCGTCTGACTCTACGCCAGAACTGACATCTACGCCAACGACCTTGGGGCCAGATTCGCCAAGCTTCTGGACAATGCCAGCAACATTGGTAGGATCTAAACCACCCGCCAAAATAACGCGCAAACCACTGTCCTTATCGAGGACATTCTGAACGCGGGACTGGTCCAGCAACTCACCAGTTCCCCCAACACTAGAATCCAGTAACGGTAGGGAGTGGTAAGCCCTGCGGGCGATCGCAGGCTCGTCAAGTCCAAACTTGCGGATGACAGGCACTGGGATCAACTTGGCCCATTCAAGCGGCTCAGATCCGTGAAGTTGCACGACATCAAGTCCCAATTTTTGTTGCTGACTCAATATATAATCAAGGGGCTGGTTCTGAAAGACGCCCACGAGAAGCGCCCGGCTAGGATGACGCAGAATTTTGGCTGAGTGATCAAAGTACTCCACAGATGTCGCAGCGGGAGGTTCTTGAGATGTGTGAAGAGTTTGACTAGCAGGTTTCGGGGTGGTTCTGACCACTTGGGATATGCGGAGCGCCACGTCATCAGGGACGCATCGCGTTCGCCCTTGCACCATGATGATTCCAATTAGGTCTGCTCCAGCCTCGATTGCTGCTCGTGCAGCTTCTTCAGATCGAGTACCGCAGATCTTTACCAACGGCGATCTCCGGGACTCGCTGGAAACGGTTTGTGAGCTGCCTCCAAGAAGCTCAGCAATGAAAGCAGCCGTGTCTGCTGCCCGCATCAGGGCTTCTCCTACTAGGATAGCTTTGACACCCTCCTTCTTGTAAGCCTCCACATCCTTCGGCCCGGAGATCCCACTGAGAGCACACACGATGGTGGTGCTGGGCACCTGATCCATGAGCCGGCTAGTAGTGCCGAGATCAACCTCGAAGCTTGTGAGGTCCCTGTTGTTGACACCGATAACCTCGGCTCCAAGGTCGACCGCAATCTTCATCTCTTCGGGTGTGTTCACTTCAACCAAAGGCTCCATGCCAAGGCTACGGGAGTAGTGATACAACCGAGTGAGGAGTTCAACACTAAGCATCTTCACAATGAGCAAGACCGTGTCGGCACCGGCCAAACGGGCCTCTAGGATCTGGTATTCGTCAAAAACGAATTCCTTCCGCAGAATGGCAGGCCTGTTCGTCATGCCCTCCAGACTTTGGCGAACGGCACGCAAGTCGTCAAGGCTGCCTTTGAACCATTCAGGCTCTGTGAGCACAGAGATGACACTGGCACCGGCCTTCGCGTATTGCCTGGCCTGAGCAGGCGCGCATGCATTTTCGGCTATCATACCCTTAGAGGGAGAAGCACGCTTGATCTCTGCCATAAGGGACAGTGGGTAGGGCGATTGTCTAAGACGAGCCGGAAATGGGATCTGGGGAGGGGCCAGATTAAGGTCATAGGCAGCCTGGAGGTCGGCTGGCCGTTGCGAGGGGATAGTCTTTTGCACGGCGACAGCGGCTCTCCGATGGTCGTAGATCCTTTCGAGGATGGACAACTTCTTGTCCGTTTTCGGGGCAGGGTTTGAGGGAACGGTGGCCTTGGTAGTGCTGCTCTGCTCACCAAAATGTTTCCCGTTTCCTTCCCAGGTGCCTGCAGTAAGTTTGAGGAAGTTGCGGAACATGATACGGCCGTACTCAGTGAGGATACTTTCGGGGTGGAACTGAACCCCCTCCACGGCCAACTTCTTGTGTCTCACGCCCATGATGACATCCTTGTTACTGTCATCCGCCAACTGAACGGAAGAGGACACCTCCAGACAGTCGGGGATTGTCGCATGTGTACCAGCTAGAGAGTGATAGCGAGTGACGGCGAGCGAGCCAGGTAGTCCTTCATAGGCGCCCTTGCCGTCATGTTTAAGCGGGGATGTCTTGCCATGAAGAATCTCGCCGGTGACATCAACTTTTCCACCAAAGCAAGTAATAATACATTGCTGACCCATGCATACACCGAAGATGGGAATCTTGCCGCTGAAGTATTGAATGGCTGCACTGCTGATACCAGCGTCAGTCTCGGGGTGACCGGGACCGGGACTGATGACTAGCTGTGTGGGCTTTTTGGCGATCAGTTCCTCCAAAGTGATCTGGTCATTACGAAACACATTGACTGTAGCACCCTCGAGAACTAAGTACTGGTAGACGTTCCAAGTGAACGAGTCGTAGTTATCAATCAAGATAACATTCGATGCGGTGCTCAGTTGGGCGGCCTTGGTGGGATGGTGGGGGGAATGATCGACGAGTCCGGAGTCCGCCATGACGAAAATCTGCGCAGGACAGGATCTTCAATTAGATGAAATCGAAGAGCAATGCGATAAGGAGAAAGCAGCCAGGGCAATGCGCATAGAGACACACTCACCTTTTTGAAGTTGAACCGTCAACTGCCGGAGTAAAGTGAGGGCGGAGCAAACATCGACGGTGGCTGCGGCCTGACTCAGATCCTCGGTGGATCGTGTCGCCTTCCGGATTGGGGTTGGTAAGCAAACGGCGCAAAACTTCAGCTCACCGCCTTGGGCTAAACCCAGATAGGCAGTCATTGTTGACCTCCAGCCAAACCCGCTCCTGGAATAATATTCTTGGGTTCCCGCCTTTGAGCTTGTGAGCTCTCTGCTTAACACTCTCAACTTGCCTGCCCTTTTGCTCCGGGTCTCTGTCGCTTTGGACCCTCGCGAGCAGCACATCCTTTTCGCATCCCATCGAGCATCTAGAATGATATAATTGTCTCGCCAATGGCTCCCGTCCCGGAAGCCTATTTCCCGTCCCTGGACAAGTGCTTCTCCGGGGACGTCCAGCTTCTGTATGGGCTTTACATTCGTCTCTTCCCAATTGACGAGCATTCACTGATTATCTATGCGATCTTAGGTCCTGGAAGAGAGCCTTCCTTCACATATGCAAAATTGATAGCAACGTCGAAGATGTGGGAAGACTCCATGCCTTCCTATCGCATCCCGACAGCGTCCAAATCCTCTCGAATTGCCTCACTGGTTTTCCTTCTCCTTCCACCAAATCAAAATCCGACTTTGAATCTAAGACAGCCGCAATAAATGTTGAGACAAATGCGCAATCTTCGTATGATTTGAAGGAGATCAAAGCAGATGCTCTGTGGTTGAGCGAGAAGGCGGGTATTGATGAAATCAGCGCGCTCAGATTAACAGTATTAGAATGGCAAACCCGACCTGCCACGCGCCTTCTCAACCGTTTTGCCGACGAGGAAACAACCAGCTTGCAAAGCGCGGCGGGAGGTGACAATCTTCGTGTGTCTCTCGCAGGACCTGCCCTGGCCGAAATTTTCAATCAGAAAGCAGCCCATGTTGACGAGGCTTCCGATTTTTCTTCTGAAACTAGCCGCCGCTTGCGGCTGCGCAGCTTATATCTATCGGAGAGAAGCCATGTCGTCAAAGTGGCATGCAAGCTGCTTGCGTTGTATCTCAGAGATAACCAAGAGCCGGCTTCCCAGCGTTCTTCGGACCTTCCCTCTCAGCAGCTGTCCAAGCTAGGTGACACAGTATTCAATGGAAAGTCCAAGGGTGAAGGCTGGCGCACGTTCAACAAGAGCTGCGTCGAGGCTGTGCGGAGTCGGCTGTCTTCGTTGGACCGCGGTGGTGGCTGGCTAGGCGCCACCGAGAGTAGCCAAGAAATCGAAGAATTATGGGCCACTATCCTTGTTGAGGAGGTAGTGCATATTACACAGATGTTGTTCCTGCAACTTCAGGCGTCTAGAGAAATTCCTGGTGCGGAGCTTCTGCTTTCTTGGCTTCGTCTGATGGTTGACTACAATTTCCTAGAGCCGCTCCGAGTCGTGAGTACTGCCTTATTATGTTTACCGCATGATCTTGTTGCTAACTACAAGAAGCCATGTCAGAATCCTCTGGAGCTGTTGGTCCCACTTCAAGGCTTCGTCTCTTTGACAACACTAGCTTTTCTGAAGCTGTCATTGTCGGTCCCATCGATCATCAACAATTCCTCACACAAAGGCCCGTCGGCTGAGGCACCTTACTACCTCTCAAAGGAAGAGATTGGCCAGATAAACGAGCTCTTCTTGACAGCTGGTGTAGAATCTAAAATTGCTAATCCAGCTGCGTTCTCCTGGGGACTGATAATGCATACTATGAGGGAGCTTGCACTCAGCGACAGAGAAAGCCGAGAGTTGGAGCAATTCCACAGTGCAGTGGATTCTTTCCAATCGAATACACCTCATTCGAATCCGTCCAAAGCCTCGGAGATCACTTTGTATGAAGAGTTGCTCGAGAACGCACGTACTCCGACCTGCACAGCGGATGAGGCGATAACTCTTCTAAGCTCAGATGCAATGAAGGATATGGTGTTTGAAACCGTCCTTGTTCTGGCTACGAAAGTTGGAGCTACCTCAGCAGTCACTGACATTCTAACAAGCCAATGGATTCAGCTCGTGCTTCTAGATTTCATCCGGACCACCGTGGTTTACCTAGACTATTCCCCCGAGATCGTTGGGTCCACACTGGCAGTTCTCCAGGGCTCACCGGTAGAATCGCAGTGGTTTCACGGAGCC